CCAAATAAGTTTTTTAAATCAAAAGAAGCTTACAATAATAGCTGAATCAATCGGAAACATACCTTAATGGACCGGAGAAGAAGTGGAAGAAGAGGTGTTGGATGAAGTTTGCTGCAACCGGTAGTCCGAGTTTATTCGGTATTGTTAATCTGGCTTATTCGTGCGTAACAGACTTCAGTTGAAGGAGAAGAGCCCAACTCACAGATTTCTAATCCGTATACAAATTCGGAGAATTTTTTATTTGTATTCCTAACCTAGATTCATAAATTTCGATTTGCATTCCAAATCTATATTCATTGAACAAATTTCCTAATTCTGACGCCGCTCCCAAATTCAATTACTTGGAAAACTCGGCGATTGTTTTCTTCTGGTTCAGAGGAAATTCAATTTCAGTGAAGATGGTTGCCGGTAATGCCATCTTGTGCTGACTTAATTTGATGTTTGACAACTGATGCCATTGTTCTCCTTCGGCAGATCGACGCAATGGATCTGATGCCGAATGTGGTTTTTGTGGTAATAAGGAGGACGATGAACAGTGATGGGTGGCAGTATAGGCGAAGAAAGCATTGTGTCTTATGGGGTTTTTTTTTTTTTTTTGAGAGAAAAATGAGGTGAACGTCGAGTTTTTTTGGGTGGCAGTGGAGGCGGAGCCTTTTGGGTTTTTCTTTTTTAATGTTTCTGGGTGAGGCCGATGAGGTGGACGACGAGGGTAAAATGGGAGATTTTGTTTTGGTTAGTGAGAAGTATAGAATGATGTCATTTTGTTGGTTGGATTTTTTCACCAAAATCTGACGGACAAATAAAAAACGATGTCGTTTTGGAGAATTAGGGTTTTGTTTTCAAAGCTTACGGATTTTTTATTTTTTATTTTTATTTTTAGATTGGGATGTATGTATGATTTTTTTTCATTAGTAAAATTCAATTTATAAATTCATGTTTTTAACCCTAATAAGTCGCTGACATCATACCGTGCATATTCGACGGACGAGATCTATTTGACGGGGAACCTCGAATATTTCTTGGGCATTATTTCTTGTCTACTGCGCCTTTCATTTAAGTATAAGGATTAACCACGTTGCCGTGTTAGGTAGTGGGGTTAGTTTATAATTCGCGGGAGTTATCCTAGACACACAAAAAGTCCACATAGCAATATTAAGGAATTGATGCCATAGTGTCATGTAATTGTGTTCGTCATTTCTTCTTGGCGTGTAAATCTTGAATTGACTTCCTCACAAAATAATGAAATCGCTTTCAAGTTTCAAGGGGTTGTCGCATAACATTGATATATGTACCACGTTCACATTTTTTGTGGATACCATTTCTAATTTATTCAATATTGAATGGTTGGTTCCTCAGGGTTCACTTATATGTTCAATGGTCAATTCGTGACCTAGTAAACACCTCACATTAGCTTTTCTATTACCTGCCTCAAGGAGGATTCCAGTCCGGCGTCTTTTGGCACGAGTCAAATAGGCCGGTCAAATATACTGGAAAGATAGAGCTAGAGACAGAATTTCCCTTTTATCCTAGTATTTTCCTCTCTAAAGCACAAAAGGAAATAAAGGAAGATGAAGAAAGAGATTCGTGGATAAAATCTCCCCTTAATACTAGTATCCTCTCTCTGCGGTTCAGGTTTGAACACGAATATAGACACATAACAGGGATAAAAATATTTGTTGCGAGAATTTTATCTCCTAAAAAAATCTATCCCACTTAAATTTAAATTAATGGAATCAATAATCTTGTTTAATTTACTTTCCTTAAAAGTAATTCGTGAAGTGCTCTATTCCGTTTTTATTCTGGACCTGCCCAAATTCGCTTTAATGAAGCATTCAAATGATCAATATATTATTACCAAGTTTTTAAATCAAGTCCACTTTTGCTTGCTTGAAAAAATGGGAGATTTGCAACGCGCAATTTACTGAAGGCAACAACACAATAAAATAGCAGAAACACCAAATATTAATACAAAAGTTATATTGCTAAAATTCAGAAAGGATGAAAAGAAAAGAATTACTCAAAGGGTTATGTTCTAGACGTGTTAAACACTTTTTTTTAAATAATATTCACCCCCACTATACTTGCAATGGAGTTGAGAGTGGCAACTTGTCCCTAGGATACAAAGAACAACTAGAACTAGCAATTTGTAAGGTATTGGTAACTCTTAAAATTTTGGAATGCATGATTTTTGTGTTTAACTCACCAAAAGAAAAGGTGCTACAAAAGTACGTGAATTTTTCACACACAACAACTAAATGAGATATCATTTATATATATATATATATATATATATATATATATATAATGCAAGACACTTGCAAAGCTAGAACCGTCACAACTCATCTTCAACATTGAATTATTATCCTAAGTTATAAAACCATCTTTAATAACTTAAAATTCAATGAAGACAATTTTTATTTATCTTGTAAGATGATATCTTGTATTGAATAGTTAAAACCAATGTATTATCCGTAATATCTAACCTCACCCAATATTAAAATTTTCTAACATTCCTTGCTTACATTTGAAGGATCAATTTGGAGGTGTATCTTATAATTAAGGGCGTTCCTTTCCTTTTCAAGCGTACTTCATGCATGACCAAGAAATTTCATTTTACAGTAGAACTTATATAAATTAATAATGTTGGGACCACTAAAATTTATTAATTCAGTGAATTATTAAATAATCGATAGATTAATAAATTATTAATTTAAAGAATTTACATGAGAAAAAAAAAAGAATCGTCATGAAATTACTTAATTGGCAGTTGTTTTTACATCCGAGTCAATCAAATATTAAAATTATTTTGAATATTAAAAATTCATACATAGTTCATATCTTTTCCAGGGACTAAAAAACAAGTATTAATAGTTCATATTTTACTAAATATTTATAGTAATTATTATTATTTTTTTGTTTTGGATATTTATTAATTTATGGTATTGTTGGGACCTATAGATACTAATGATGTCTGGTCGCGCAATGCGCGACTCTGGCCCAATATATCTGTAGATCTTAGATTTGTTTGTATCTGGAAAAAAAAATTGTATTTGGCCCGATATATTTTAGAAATATTTGAAGAATTTTAGAAATATTTTATAAGTGTGATGTTTGTATTTGGCAAAAAAATAAATTGTATTTGGCCCGGTACGTTTTAGAAATGTTTGAAGATTTTAGAAATATTGTATAAGTGTTACTTCTTAAATATAAATAAACTTGATCAAATATATGTCTTGAAGTAATGCTAGACAAAATATAAAAGCATCCTAATAAGTTTAAATATTAGTAAGATAATTTATTGATTTTCTCCATTGGTTGTGCCAAATCAATACTTAGTTTTGGAGATTTATATAACTTTGTAGTTAGCTTCTTCCAAAGGGTATACGCTTAATTGTTGGAACTATTTCTTCTAAAAGTTTACAGGTAGTAAACTATCAAAAAATGATTTTAAAACTGGTTAATTGTTGAAACTAGTTGATCACAAATATTAGAATGAAAATAATATAAATTTGCATAGGTTTCAAGATATAGCAAAAAATAACTCACCTCACGATGGCAAATAAAAAAAAAGTAAAAGATAGCCCATTAAAATTTGAGAATTTTTATTTTTTTCTGTAGGTAAAAATGATGTATAAAAACACAAATAAATGTAGAAACATCATTCCTTCCCTCTCCACCTCAAATTCATAAAAGGATTCCCCATAAATTAGTTAAAAGAAGTGACCTGAACTATTTATATGATGAGGAACTAAAAAAGTCTAAAAATCAAATCCAAAAAAGTAATTCTTGAAACCCCCAACACAAAAAAAGAAACATGCTTCATTTGCAAATAAAATAATAATAATAATAATAATAATAATAATAATAATAATGATAATAATAATAATTGGTCAACTGGGAGTGTGAAACAAAATCAAAAGCAATTAAACAAAGAAAAAATACACTTCATAATTGGCCATATACAAAAAAAAACCTGAGACTCCATAATTAAAAAAGAAAAAGAAAACCACTCTAATTGAATGAAACATAAAAAACAAATTTTAAAAACCACACTTTGTAACAAAAAACCAATCAATCAATTCAATCCAAACATAACTAAAATCATACAATTCTAGGCTAACTAACCAAATAAGAAATCACATCATACTACCTGACAACGGCTACAGTAGCTGTAACGAATGGACGCATAAAAATAATAGTAATAACACTATTCTTGAACGGGAAAACAAAAAATAATAAAAGCCAAACCAATGATATGTGGAAATAAAATCATTTAAATTTTAATACCTGCAATGGCACCACCACAACGGCCGAAGTAAGATCAATGAGAATTTTTTCTTTTTTCCTTTGTGTTTATATAGAGAGGTAAAGAGAATATTTTTTGAAGTTGAAATATTATCCGATTAAGATGTAGTTGATTATCACTAATGAAAAGATTGAATATGCTAATAGGAAAGGAGTATATTTCACCACATATTCTCAATTGATGATTGATGAAGAATTTATTTATTTTTTAATTGTGGAGAAGGGATAGATTAAGGAGTCGATTGTCATGGAGATGGGGATGAGGATTTGAGTTTTTTATGAACCCGTGATATATATATATATATATATATATATTTTGTTTGTTTTGATGAAAATAGGAGGTGGAAGTGAATTTAGACTGCATTTGCCTTTTAAATTTAGGAGATGTGGTAATAAAAATTTATTTTAAAAATATGATGTGGAAATACCACATGGCAAATGATGGTGCTTTTTCTTAAGTGTGGTTTTTGTTTCTAATATAGTAAGATATAAGAGATTTTCTGAAACATTATTATCTTATTATCATTTTATCGATTTTTTTGACGTTTTGTACTGGTCCCAAGTTGGGACCGGAAAAAATTATTAATTGTTAGAAGTTATTAATTTATTGATTATTAATTTACTGACGTACTGTATATATAACATTGAAGTTAGTTGCACTCCTTCTGTTAAAAAATAATTGTTCAGTTTGGATTTTCAGTTTTAGTACAAATTACAATAAAAATGAAAATTCAACCATGTCAATTATTTTAGGGCAGAGTACATATAATCCAAATGACATAAAATTCAGATGAGAATGTGAACGCCCCTGATTGTAGACAATTGAGAAGAACCGCCATTAAAACATCGTCACTATAAATAAAACACCTTTTTCTTGTTGAACTCAAGAAGAAAAACAAAATCAGAAAGACCGCATCACTAATAGTTCGGCATCTGCGGAATAATTTCATCAATGGATTCCGCCGCTGTTATCCACGGTATCAATCATATCGGGAATTCGCTTCCTGTTGAAAACGTTCAAGAACTTGCTTCCAAAAAATTAACAGCCCTCCCACCTCGATACATCCAATCTGAAATCAAGACTGACGGTGAAGTTTGCGTCAAAGATTCATTACAGATTCCAGCTATTGATATGAGCAAGCTTGTAGCCGGAACTGGAAGTGATGAACATCAAACTGAAATGTTAAAGCTTCACCAGGCATGCAAGGACTGGGGATTCTTTCAGGTGAAAACAATCCTTTGCATATTTCCAATCAAAATAGTGTTCCATGCTTGTTAACAATTTAGATATAATCATACTGAATTCGATGCTCTGGAACAGTTAACTAATCATGGAGCAACAACAGCAGTCGAAAATATGAAGACGGCTACAAAGGAATTCTTTCAACTGCCATTGGAAGAGAAGATGGTCTATGCACAACTTCCAGGAGGCCTTGAAGGATATGGCCAGTCATTTGTTGTGTCGGAAGATCAAAAACTTGACTGGTGTGACATGTTCTATGTTTGTCCAATTCCAGTGTCTACAAGGAATATGAAATTCTGGCCCAAAAATCCTGCATCTTTCAGGTTCGTACATAATAATAATTTACTCCTGAAGGATTTGGTTTCGTAGTAAGTTATTTCAGTTATCGCAATTTGCTATCGAGATTGAATGTTTTAACATTAGAAATTTCTATCCTTTTAAAAAATAAATTAGATCAAGCTTAGAGGAATTCTCGCACGAGATGCAGAAAACCTGCATCAGTCTCATGGAATTCACCGCGACAAATCTCGGGGTGAAATTCAAGGAATTTGCCAGCATGTATGTGGAATGCACACAAGCAATAAGAATGAATTATTACCCGCCTTGTGCTCAGCCCGAGAAGGCTATGGGTATCACTCCACATTCTGATGGAACTCTGTTTACTCTTCTGGTTCAAGTCAATGAGGTTGAAGGCCTTCAAGTCCGCAAAGATGGTAAATGGGTTCCTATCAAACCTCTTCCTGGAGACATCATTGTCAACGTTGGTGATTCAATGGAGGTAAGTTTAATTTTTCTGATCTCCTCAATTTCATACTCTCCCCGTTCCAAAATTAATTTTCACCTTTTAAGTGAAAATCCAAACTTGACATTAATTTTGGGACGAGTATAACACATTCTTGGAACTCCTGGTTTGATTTTGGTTAAAATTTTTTGTTGCAGATAATTACCAATGGGGAATACAAAAGCATTGAGCACAGAGCTGTGGTGAATTCCGAGAAGGAAAGATTGTCGATTGCTGCATTTCACAACCCAAGTGTTGAAGCTAAAATCGGTCCTCTATCGGATCTTGTGAAAGAAAATGGAGCCAAATACAAGACGGTGAAGTTTGAGGACTATATCAAACAGTTTCTAGGCAGGAAACCAGATGGGAAAAGTATGGTTGATACCGTGAAGATATAAAACTACAAAATTCAGTTGCATCGCATGGTGTAATAAATTATAGACAAACCAGACGGTTTAACATATCTGGTGTATTGTTCAATCGTTGTACGTGTTCTTTTTTCAATAACGAATACTCCCTCTGTCTTAAAATTATTGTCCACTTCGAGATTTCACTTTTACTACAATTTGAACTAAAAATAAAAACCTAAACTGGACAATAATTATGGGACGGAGGGAGTAATTTTTATTAATTATGATGCTGGGATGGTATAAGGAAAATATGTGTAAAGTGATAAATGGAAATATAAATGTTTCTCCAAATTCAAGAATAAATGGCAAATGACAAGCTCGCTGTGTGAGAATTCAGTACCAGTACCGAAGGATCTAGTCAGAAGTAGTCAATCGAATGACAGTTGCCTGGTAACGAGAGTCTGTATCCAGTATATCCAGGAGTACCGTGTACTTCCTCCTATTTTTTACATTTCTAGTCCTTATTGTACTTTTTTATCAATCTTTTTATATTTTGTAAGTTTAGCCCCTGTTAATTTTTCTCTCTCTTCTAAAAATATCTCTCTCTTCTAAAAAAAAAAATATCTCTAATCTTTCAACGAGCATATCTCCCAATCCGTGAAGAATTTGTGATCAAATTACATATGAAATTTATAGTACTCATCGAGATCTATCCAACAAGATCCATAGTGAATTTTTTTCCAAGCTTAAAAATGACTTAATTCTGATGGGCAGAATAAAGGTGGATATCTAGTTTTACAAGATGGATAACCAACTTGTTCTAAATTGGTTATCCATTGTGTTCATGCTGATTATACAATCAGTTTGAATTGGTTATCTATTTTATTTGTACTGTTTATCCATTTGGTTTATATGTCTATCCAACTTATTTATAATGGATATCTCACTTGTTTGAAATAGATATCCAACTTGCTTGTACTGGATATCCATCCATTTGTTTATCTGCTTATCTAACTTGTTTTGTAGTTGTAATCTAAGGGGTTTGTATACATATCCAACTTGTTTATGCTGGATATCCAACTCGCTTGTACTGGATATCCATCCACTTCATATTGATTATCCAACTTCTTAATTCAAAATAAGTTGGTTATCCATCTTCTTAAACTGGATATCCAATGTGTTCATATTGATTATCCAACTTCTTTGTGCTGGTTATCCAGTATTTTTTTCCTTGCTCTTTTATGAAAATGATTGTCAAACTTTTTTGTACTGATTATCCAACGCGTTGCACTGATTATCTAATTATTTTCTATTGATTATCTAAATTGTTTGTCATGCTTATCCAATCATTTTTTCTTTCTTTCTTTTTTTTTTTTTTGAAGAGTGAATGTCAAAAATATAATTGGATAACAAGTACAAACAGAATGGATAATCAGTCCAAACCGGTTGGATAATCAGTAGGAACACAACGGATAACTATTTTTCAAAGAAAAACGAAAAACACATTTCTTCATTTCTGCCCGTAAAATTTAAATGCATTTAAAGTTCAAAAAAAAAATTCAACATAGATCTTATCGGATAGATTTCGTCAAACACTATAAATTTCATGTATAATTCGTATTCTAATTCTTTATGGATCAAGAGATATATGCAATACAAGAATCTTAATTTAAACTAAACTGGTTATCCATTTTTCTAAACTAGATATCCATCTTATTCTACCCATCGAAATTTAGTCATTTTTAAACTCGAAAAAAATATTCGACATGGATCTTGTTGGATAAATCACGACGAGTACTATAATTTTCATATATAACACGTTCTCTAATTTTTTACGGATCATGAGATATGATCGTTTAAAGATTAGAGATGTTTTTTAAAGGAGAGAGGAAAAAAAAATCAAAGGGACTAAACATGTAAATTATAGGATGTTATTTAGAAAAGGGAAAAAAAATATAATAAGAACTAGTAGTGTAAAAAATAGGATGGGGAGTATGGTGCCTCCGGGTATATTGGATAAATTGCCTAGTAACGAGTTTAAAAGATGTCCACATAGAATAAATGAATAAGATAAATAAATAGATCTCGTCATGTCCAATTAGTTAGTCACGATTTAGTTATTTACAAGTTTTTTTGTGTCGCAAAAATGGACGAGATGATGTTTATAATTTAAAATAGTGGGGTGATTATGCCAAAACAGCTTTTAGCATGCATCCAAGGCAAATTTAAAGTCAAAAGATATAATTTACCCATATTAAAACTATCATTACTTTTCACTATCTTCATGTTTCAAACTTTTCGCTAATTTCACAAAAAGGCTTTTATGTTCCCCACTCCAAGAAAAAAGGGGTCAATTTCGTTGTTTTTTCTTCGTCTCTTTGAAAGTATCATCCAATTGAAGCCAAAATATGTCTTTGAAAAAAATTGAATAAATTGTTTGTAATCTTTGAGTTATTTTGAGTTTGCTAGTCAAAACATTTTGGTACTATAAAGAGTCACCAAATTCTAAACGATTTGGTGGAAACAAGTTTAGGATACAAAAGTCCTTTATTTATATCTTCACGTTTGTAATATCAGACATCATCGTGATCTCTTCTTAGAACTGAGGTGGCTCTAAAATCACATCAGGTTGGATGGGTTTTCAATATAATTGAATGGTGGCGGAAGAAAATTCAACTTACCCAATCTTTAACATTTTCTACCCGAACCCATATTTTGAGCCCTCTTAAAATTCTGAACTTCAAGCAATTAGTCTAAAGCAAAACCTGAGACAATTAGAAGGCCTTCCCTAACCAACAAGATGATAAATGGAATTCAATTGCCCTGGCAGGGGAGGAGTACCATGAGTTTTAAGATGGGCTAATGACTGGTGAAAGATGATGATTAGTGGTGGTACTACCGTACTATATATGAAGATGGGTAATTATGTCTTTTTATGAAATTTGCACTGGATCTTAAAAATTATTTTGGTAAAATTACTTACCTTAAATATAATAATAATGTTGAAACAGTTTTACAAGTATGAAAAATTGTATGGAGTACTACTACCAACATGAGGAGCAAATAATTCATGAGAATGTTACTTCGCTGTCTCTGTACGTGTAAGTAACATTATAATCAGATTAGACAGGGTCTAGTAGTAACAAACTTTGGTTTATTGCTGCAAAATGCTGGAATTAGGTGGATCCCGATCTTGTAAGTTGGTTACTTTGTATATACGCCACATATTGTTAATATTACCTCTATTCTAGGAAGAAAAAAAAGTTAAAATTCAATGTAAACTAATTTTTTAGAAAAATATATTTTTAGAATATGCGACTCTAATTGCATTATGTTTCAATCTGTTGGTTATTTAACACGTGAGTAATAGATAAAGACTAATAACTATCTATTTTGATTTAGTTTCAAAAAGAAAAGTCATATATATTTCGCATTTGTATCAACGTGAGATTTGATAACTTTTCCGTTGTCGTGAAAATTTAGAATGAAATATTACATATATAAACGTAAAAAAAATTATAACAAACGGAATTCCATTTCAAAAAGCCAGGTGGAATTAATGTATTCAACAAATGGTTCAATTTATAACATGTACTATTCTTTTGTGACAGATGGAACACTTTATTTAGAGGGAGATATAAAGATTGTTATAATTGGCGCGGTCATTTTTACTGTACTTGTAAGTGTTAGTTTTTTTTTTCTTTTTTTCTTTTTCTTGATAAATAGATTAATAAACATATTAGTAATTTAGTAGTATATTACTTCTTCTATCTCAAACATAGTAGTAAGTATCGCGATACGTCTCGAAATCAAAGGAAAACGAGAAGACTCGTGGTGTTGAATCGGAGTTGCAAGTGAATCGTAAATTTTTTTGCCGTTTTGTCCGAGTCGAGACGTATCGTCGTATCGGTTGAATCGTCCGATTTTTTTTTTTTTTACTGCTTAAACCATCTTTTTTTTTCTTTTCACATTTTTTACACCTTATCCCAATTAACAAAATCATTTATTTAATAAATAAAAACCCTTCCTATTCCTTTTTTCTAATCAAGACCAAAATCACCGTAATCACTTTTTATTTTTTTGATAACTCTTCCGAATTCCTATTCCTACTCAACTTTTCCCCGATCACAGTTCGTCCAAAAAATCCCTAATCTTCTTTCTTTGAAATTAAGCCGTCCAGTCCAGGTCTCCAAGAGGATTAAAACCTTCATGATGATTTTGCAAAGCTTTTTTGCACTAATCACTTAAGCCAAGAGTGAAGAGTCCCATAATTTCCAATCATGAACTACTCACGATCTAAAGGTAAAATTTTACTATTTGGTATTTGAGTTTGGCTTTGGTTTTGTTTTGCTGATTAGAGTAATCTATTAGCTTTGATTGTTGCGTCCATGTGTTCTCAAGTCTCAAAATGCATGTCAATCCAAAAAACCATACAAAAAGACACTTTTTTGCACGACTTGATTAAAATAGTTAAATAAAATATGTTAATTTAATTCTGCACAATGTTATTTGTCTGTAATTCGTAGTGATGATCTCACATGTACTTTAGGTATTTTTCTTTTTTGGCAATGTTTATTCAGATAAATAATGACATGAAGTAAGGATTTTAAGGAAATTTTTTTACTCTTCTTAAATTGAACTATGGAACCATTGCTTGCAGCCGCGCACTATTACAAGTTATGCTAGTTTAGGGAAAAAAATATTCTTAAATAATTTTTTTTTTTTTGCATTGATGTACAAGTGAACTGCAGTAAAAAATTTATATATTTGTCTTCCTTTTACTCATGTTCTTCTTTTCTTTTTTGTTTTGTACAAAGATGGCTTCAAAATCAAAAAGAGTGTTGGATTGCACTTGGGAGCATTGCACTTGAGTTCATGAAGTATCATCAGAAGGTAAAAATAATATAACTAGACTCAAATTGATGTGCAATTACTGCAAAAAAAGAGTTTTAGGGTGGAGTTTCTAGAATGAAACATCATTTAGCTCGAACTAGAAAAGATGTTGCATTATGTGAAAAGGTTCCACAAGATATGTCAACAAAGTTTTTAAAGATTCTTGAAAATTTGAGGGAGAAAAAAATCCGTGGATGATGATATTGTTGACTTAAGTTGTTTTGATGAAGAAAATGATGACAACGATAAGAAGTTCAATGGTACAGGAAAGGAGAAAAACAAGTCATTATGAATTCTTTCACTAAAGATAGGGCAGTGCCATGTATGGATATTTGTAGATTTTTCTATGCTCATGCGTTGCCATTTCACTTGGTACGAAGTCCTTTGTTTAAGAAGATGATGAATTCTGCTATTGAATATAGAAAAAGGCTAAAACTTCCTTCTTATCATGAGATGCGGGTCACTAGCTTGAAAAAAGAAGTAGAAAATGTGAATCTAAATTTAGAGAAGTATAGAGTTGAGTGGGAAAAAACAGGTTGTACTATAATGTCAGATGGATGGACGGATTGTAACGGAAGATCAATTACCAATTTTCTTGAGAATAGCCCAAAGGGAACCGTTTTCCTTGAATCACTTGATACATCTAATATATGTAAAGATGCTAATCACTTGTTTGAGTTGTTAGATTCTATAGTTGAAAAAGTTGGAGAAAAGAATGTGGTTCAAGTTGTCACCGATAGTGCATCAGTTTATGTTGCTGCAGGGACCTTGTTAATGGAGAAAAAAAACAAGTTATTTTGGTCACCTTGTTCTACACATTTGATTGATTTAATGTTAAGTGATATTTGTGAAATTCCTGTGTACAAAGATATACTAGACAAAGCAAAGAGGATTACCAAGTTTATTTATCATCATGTTTGGGTGCTTGATTTAATGAGGCAACACACTGGGAAAAAAGAGCTAGCAAGGCCTGGGGTTACAAGATTTGCCAAGGCCTTTCTCATTTTGAAGTCTATTTTCAATCAAAAACAGGCCTTGAAAGTTATGTTTACATCTCAAGAATGGAACTCAAGTACTTATGCCAAGAGAAAGGAAGCTAAGAAAGTTGAAGAACTTGTGTTGGGTGATTATAAGTTTTGGACTGGCATAAAATATTGTTTGAAAGGAGTTGTTCCTTTGGTGAAAGTATTAAGGTTAGTTGATGGTGATGCAATACCTGCAATGGGTTATATTTTTGAAGCAATGGAAAGAGCTAAATAATAAATTGCGAAGAGCTTTGACAATGTGAGGTCAAGATACAATCGGATATGGTCCATCATTGATACTCGTTGGGAATTGCAACTTCATAGACCTCTCCATGCGGCAGCTTACTATCTCAATCCAAAGTAAGTTCTGCAGTAGTGCCGAAGCTCTATGTGCTGCTATAATGCTAAGCCAAGGGCACTCCGCCTTATCTATAGAAGCAGTCAACTGAGTTCTAAACGAATTAGCTCCTTGGTAATGGCTTAATCTATAGATAGAAAGCCCTATGATGGGAAACTACCACGTTAGGTTTGGAGAGAGATGGGACGGGTTATATTATAGGGAAAGCAGATGCAAGGCAAGCTTTTTCTTTCAATAGCCGGTCAAATGACTACAGGATCATCGGTCTACTCTACCTCAATTCACCATTTCGAACTTTATACAGAAGGTTTTTTCGTACCAGCTTCTTCTACCTATACCGGAGTTGAAGCACCTAAAGGAGAATTTGGTGTATTTCTGGTCAGTAATGGAAGCAATCGTCCCTACCGTTGTAAAATAAGAGCACCTGGCTTTGCCCATTTACAAGGACTCGATTCTATGTCCAAACATCACATGCCAGCGGATGTGGTCACCATCATAGGTACTCAAGATATTGTGTTTGGGGAGGTGGATAGATAGGACTACGTCTTGCTCGAGCAGGGCCCTATCTTTATTGCAAGCCAAAAACCCCATCATTTATAGATCCTTCGATATTCTATTCTTTCTGGTTCTGGACCAATAGTAAAAGAGTCCGGTCCAGCTCTTAGCGCAAAGTAGCACCTGCCCTGAGGTGGGTCAGAAATTGGGAGTCAATCCAAAGTAAGTTCTAATGAATGAATTTCTTAAAGTTTGAATTATTTTATTGATATATGAAGTTTGGCTATGAATTGATGTCATTGTTTTTTCATCATTTAGATTTCACTATTCAAGTAACTTCAATGCTAGCCATGAAGTTAAACTTGGATTCTACAAAACAATTGAGAAAATGTTTCCTGACATTGAGTCAAGAATCAAGATTGATGAACAGTTGGAGAAGTTTCACAAAGTTGAGGGAATGTTTGGTTTAGACACGGCAATAATTACTAGAGAGAGAAAGTAACCTGGTTTGTTTATTTTCTTTATTATCTTATTGTTTTGTTCAAGTATGTTTTAGCTTTCATCTTATTGTTATCAGTTGATTTATGTTTCTCTTTTTATAACAGTAATTTGGTGGGAGAGTTTTGAAAGCGGTTGTAAGGAACTTCAAGATCTTGCAATACGTGTACTAAGTCTTACTTGTAGTGCTACGGGTTGTGAAAGGAATTGAAGTACTCCCTCCCTCCCATAATTATTGTCCGATTTAGATTTTTATTTCTAGTTTAAATTGTACTAAAAGTGAAATATCAAACTGGACAATAATTATGAGACAGAGGGAGTATTTTTGATAATGTCCATTCTAAGAAAAGGAACCGCCTGGAGCAAAAAAGAGTGAATGCATTGGTATTTGTTAAATATAACATCAACTTGGAGTTAAGGCAAAAGAAAAGGCAAGAGAATGGTGACACTTATGATCCGATTTGTCTTTCTGATATGGAATCAGATGACGAATGGATAACTGAAGTAGAAGACCATGTCTTCCAGAAGATGATTCTTGGTTGGACATTCATGAATGCTTTTCTGAAAGTGAAAGTAGCAAGAATGCCAAGAAAAGAAAAAAAGGTAAACTTACCAATTTCTTTAACAATTTTTTTTATTATGGTAAACTAACTATATTTATTTATGTGCTTATAGGACCAAGGAATCTTCAACATGACAGGAGTAATAAAAATAGTGTAATTGTTGAACAAGATGAATTTCTACAAGAAGTTGAAGTGATTTAAGAAAGAAAACCAGAATCTTTTAATGATGAAGAACAACTCATAGTGGAAGCTCCAGATGAAGATGATTTCTTGTTTGATATGGGGAGTGGTTTTTAAATTTATTGGGATGAAACTTTACAGATTTTGCTTTCAGTTCGTAATATGGGCGAATTTTATTTTTCTGCAAGGTTGTATTAAAGCTTGCTTCCATCTTTAAATCCTAGGTCTAAGGGGATGATATGAATATTTACATCTAGTGATGTCCATCTATATTGATATTTTGAGTTTGGAGTTTGGACCTTTCAAATGAATGATTCTATTGAAATATCATAAATCTCATTGTTATTAAAATTTCTTTTTGGACTTATTATATTATATTATGCATATTAAGGTTATTGAACGTGTCGCACGATTCGATTCGATACACGATACACTGTACGTATCATGAAATTGGATTTTCGATACACGTTACGTATCACGATTCGATAACTATGATCTCAAATAATAGTTCACAATTGAGTTTTACGATTTGTACTCCACGATTTTTGGTATTTGGTTAAAGGAAATACTTCTTCCGTCCTAGAAAAATAGTTCAGTTTAATAAGAAAATTTATCCCAAAAAAATAGTCCAGTTTCAGAAAAGTCAAAATTAATTGAATTGAAATGACTTAAATATTCAAAAGATGAGTGATAAGGAAAAAAAGGTCCACTTTCCTTTTATTTTCAATTTTTTTTAGTTTTCTCCCATTTTTTCAAATGATTATATCTTTTAATACATGAATAGTTAAAAAATATGTTATATATCAAATTAATCTACGTACCGAGAACTTTCCATCAAGATCCATTGTCAAGATTTTTTGAGATAAAAATTTTGATCAAATTAAAGTTGTAAAATAAATGCATATGTAGTTAACTTTTATAGAAATAACTAGAAGGGGCATTAGTGGAAGTTAGGGACATAAAATGAGTTGTACATTTGGTGCATTGACCAAATTAAAAAATTGTACATTTTCAAGCTAGACTATTTTTCTGGGACGGAAGGGAGTATATGACAAAGTAGTTCAGACTACAGAGAAGTCCACGACCAAATAATAGAAGCACATGATCAACTACATCAGCATCATATCTCCTCTGGCTGCGATCAAACAGAAACTCAACACAGGGCTAAATATAGAAAACTTAGATCCTGAGACATTATTCTTATTCATCAATGGAGATCAGTGAAAGCCACAGCCCCAAATCGTATTGGCAGTTCACTCCCGGTTCGGAACGTGCAAGAACTAGCTTCTAAGAACTTAATCGACATCCCGGATCAATACATCCGACCTGAATATCAAACAGATGAAGTTTATTCATGCCAAATTCCAGTTATTGATATGAGCAAGATTGTTGCATTTGGCCGCAACCTCGAATATCAAACTGAAATATCGAACTTCACCAGGGTTGCAAGGATTGGGGATTCTTTCAGGTAATTTTTTTTTTTTTTTTTCTTGCAAACTTATTTCCTTGCTTCATTTAAGATCCAATGCCTCATGATTGATACATCTATATATCTCGACACAGTTGACTAGTCATGGAGCAACAGCAACAATCGAGAAAATGAAAGTTTTCTACACAGGAGTTCGTTAAGCTGCCATTTGAAGAGAAGATGGTCTATGCACAACTTCCAGGTGGTCTTGAAGGATATGGTCAAGCATTCATTGCGTCGAAGGATCAAAAACTCGTTCCATGCTCTTCATCTATTCTATTCCGGAATCTGCAAGGACTATGAAACTCTGGCCTAACAATCCCGCATCTTTTAGTTGTGCGAAACATATAGTAGGATGCATTAAGACTTTACACATTTGGTAAGAAGTTAAGACTGTTAACCTACAGTTTGATAATATCAGGTCAAGCTTAGAGGAATACGCACTTCAGTTGCACAAAATCTACAAAAGTGTGAGGAATTCGCAGGGGCATGTATAAGGACGAATTACTAAAAACAATAAGAATGAATTATTATTATCCACCTTGCCGCCCTGTCTGACAAGGTCATCGGTGGAAGTCCACACTCTGATGCATCTCTACTTACCTTACTGGTGCAAGTCCGCGAAGTGGATGGTCTCCAAATCCGCAAAAATGGCAAATGGATTCCCCTTAAATCGCTACCTGGAGCCATCATTGTAAACATTGGTGACGCCCTGGAGGTAAATTTTAGTATCGATAACTTAATCATTCATTCCTTGGAACCCTTTCACGCATATGAGTTGAATGTCTTTTCAACAATTCAGATAATGAGTAATGGGGAGTATAAAAGCACAGAGCAAAGAGCGGTTGTGAATCCCCAGAAAGAAAGGATATCTATCGCGGCATTTCACCGTCCAACTGCAGAGGAACAAATCGGTCCTCTATCAGATCTTTTGAAAGGAAATGAAGCCAAGTACAAGACAGTGAAGTTTGGCGATTATCTGAACCGACATCTTGGCATCAAACTCCCTGGGGTAAGACCACGCTCGAGACTGATAATTCGATATCATTCCATGGGGATTGGAAGGGATAAGTTCATGGAAATTTTGTATTTCAAATGTGAACTTGACACATGTGCCAAATGCTCTGCGACAATCACACTGATAGCATCAAGTATCAATCTAATAACGCTCCGTCCTTCAATGATTATCCAATTTGTTGTACTAATCAATTTTAGTACGACAATCAATCACTTTAAAATGGAGAATTTTAGTTACTTTGATCATACAATGTTATGAACTCTACTGGCAAGGAAAATAGGAACACTCAATCTGGAAATTTAGAACATTTAGCAGAACACACTTGGTTGTCGGAAAAATGTTAAATGCAATAAAAAAAAATTATAGATTCACCTGACTAACACTGAAATGAAACAGCAAAGATTTCTTTCAAGGCACATAAACCGATGCATTATTCCAAACCAGTCTGATAATCCACATCAACCGGGTAGAAATCCTCCTAATGAATATTTAAAAGATACCACCGGAAACATCTTTCTGGTACCACTCAAATCGCCTGCATCATCAATTTCTCTTCCTTCCTTTGCAACCAAGGCTGTAAATGTCATCATGTTCAGCAACATAATATTTGCCCCGTCCCATCTGTGACCACCCTTAACAAAAATCTACTGCCATTAGTGAGAAAATATTTCCTCAGCGTTTATTTCTGTGGAAAAATTCATCACCAGTTTCTATACATATAATAAAACTTCAAGTGCATTGTTTGTCATCTGCATTCTGGAGGTTCAAAAATCAGAGAAGAAAAAGAATCGATTCTTGAAAACGAGCAAAGTAGTAAGATACATCACATTGCAATTAATATTACGTAAAATTGAACTGAATAGTTCTAACTAGTCAAGCAGATTCAGTTTTCGAACTTACAAACATGACGCTGTCTTCTACTTTACACACTGGCATTGAAACAATGTAGCAGTAAACATTATATCCAACGAAGAAGAACATATGTCGTTGTCAAAATGATAATAGCTTCAATCAACATTGTAGATACATCACAGTAACACCACTACCAACTGCGAAAATTCTTACCAGAAGCCATAGACAAAAACATCCCACGTTAGGAAAATGCATGCCTTCAAACCATCAGAAATAAGTGAATCAACGTCCACCGGATAGAAATGATCCTCCAGTTACATGGGAAAATTGAGAATATAGATCTCCTGACGAAGATGGATACGAGTGGTTTGACGTTGAAACATCTTGAAAACTCTTCCCATATGGAAATCCTATAGCACCAACCGAAACACCCAGGGTGGATAACTCAGGCAGAGGCATAGAGCCATCCAAATAGAGCATCACTTTCTGCATAGTAGGCCTAGCCATTGGATCTGAATTAGAACACAATAAACCTAGCTTCAACACCATTTCTACTTCATCCTTGTTGATTACATCATTAGCCAAATCTTTATCGACTGCCTCGAGAATTCTTCCATCATTCCAATATGAATACACTAAATCAACAAGGATGATGTCCTCTTTGTTTGCCTGGGGATCTATAGGCCTTCTACCACACACAACCTCGAGAAGAAAGGCGCCGAATGCGTACACATCAGTTACTGTAGTGGCTCGACCGGTTCTGTAATGTTCCGGGGCAAGGTATCCAACAGTTCCAACAACATGTGTAGTTTGAGGGTCAGTTCCACGATCATAGAGTTTTGCAAGACCGAAATCTCCCAATCTCGCGTTGAGATCGCCATCTAATAACACATTACTAGCTTTGATATCTCTGTGGACAACAACTTGTTCCCATTCTTCATGAAGGTAAAACAATCCTGATGCCACGCCTTTTATAATCCGGAACCTCTGGTCCCAATTCAAGAAGGATTTTTTCGTACCGTAAAGGAATCTATCAAGACTTCCATTAGGCATGTATTCATATACCAACAGCAGCTCACCTTTACGCCTGCAATATCCCAAGAGAGACACTAAATTCCGATGGCTCATCCGGCCGATGCTAACGATTTCTGCGACGAATTCTCTCATCCCTTGTCTTGACTCATGAGAAATCCTCTTGACAGCGATTTGACGCCTAGTAGTAGGTAATACTCCTCTGTAAACACTTCCAAATCCTCCAGCACCTAAAAGCTCTGTATCCCTGAATCCTTTTGTAGCAATGTACAGATCTTTGTACTTGAATCTATGAGGTCCATATGCAACTTCCCAATCTTCCAGCACTTCTGCAAACTTCCTTTTTCTTCTGATATGATAAATTACTCCCGCAATAACTAATACTATCGACAATAAGCAAATCAAGGGTAACCCAGCAATCAAAAAGTAGGATACTTTCTTAATACCAAGTCTTGGGAGTTTAGGAAGCTGAGAAATGTCAAGATCTTCCGCCATTCCTCCGTCCACCTTAAAGCTCCACCCCAGTACATAATGATTAGTGAAAAATATTGGAGCTGTGGATGATGAAAATCCAACATACATGCTTTGTTTCAGCACTGGAGACAGATCATATGTGAAGTTGAGGAGAGGAATTCTTGGTTTCTTGGTTGCAGATTTCAATGGAGCTATTGTCACAGTAATCTGTTTCCTGGCACCATCATAATCCATCCAAGCTTGAATGGGTTCACCACCAATAAGCGTCAAATCAATGAACTTACCATCTTCATCATCATAATAACCAGCAGATTTTTGCTGGAACGAATTGATGCTGCAGATATCAACCCCAACATGGTTGTCATTGAGATCAGGAAAAATAGGAGTCTGAAATGTATCAAATTCCAGAGCAAAAATATGATTGGTTAGACTTCCATTGGTTTTTGGATCAAAGATGCCAAGGAATCCCAAAGACCTGCCGCCAGGAAGAACTTTTGTAGGGGAAATCACGAACGCTAACCCTTCAGCGCTGAAATTCGTCACGTCCGGCCTGATGGCGAAGACGAAGGTGGTGGAGAAAGAAAGAACTTCTCCGTCCGGCGAGTTCCTGAAATCGATGGGATCAGGATAGAAGGCGTGGCCGGTGTCCTGTTTCGTTTGGTTGGTTAACATCAGCAAGCCATTACTTGTGAACCCTGCTATGCCGTCAAGGCTCAGATTCGCCGATCGGAATCCATTGTAAGTGAATCCCGCACCACCAACTTGCAGAACAAAAGCCGCCAGTAACTGTAGTACTAGTACTAGTAGATTAAGAAACGCCATAACTCAGCTGAGCTAGCTTCTTTCACAGACTGAATTTTCTGGGGCTCTGTTTATGAAACCGCTAAGAATTGGATGAAGCAGAGATGAATGATTGTAGTATGTTGATTGAGTTTTATTCAATGGGTCTTTTGACTGAGAATCAATGCCGAGCCTTGAAGGTTTTCAGCATGTATTAATGGTTTAGATAATGAGTAATGAACAGCTATGCAAAACCATGCTATCAAATGGCAATTTTGCAAAAACAAGGAAGCTGGGGTGGATTGAATATGACAGTAAAGCTACCCACATGACATTGTAATTAATAGAGTCGTACGAATGAATTAAATTCCAAGACTGTTCTGTTCCCTCTAATGAACACCACCACAGTTGCCAGGTTCTTCTCATGGGCAACTCGTTCATTATGAATCATTGGTTTACTTTTAAACGAATCACGTGCATTTGGAACTGGGAAGATGGAAATGGGAGGGTAAAACTCTCGGTCTCGCATTCTTTTTCGAAAATCCTGGAGATCGCAACTGAAGGAACTTGAGGACACAACGACAATTTTCTCAGAAAGATTCAAAGTCTCTCTCTATTCTCTAGGTACCCCTCACTGCTACTCCATTACTACATCTCATTTGATTAGTTCCATTAACTTTAGATTTTGTCTCATAATACAATCCGAATGAGTATAGTTTCTACTTTTTAGCAAAACAAAGAACTTGTGAAAATTGGAAATGGATACTACAAAATGATTTTTCCCCCAGGGATGCTGGAGAAAGTTTTCATTATCAGAAGACTAATACACACACATAAGGTAAAAGACTTCTTTTATCCGAAAGACTTGCAAGATTTCTCTGCAAATTGACAACATCCTTTGATTTGTGGTTATATCCAGTGTTACAGGTTCTATGGTTTTGCATCTTTTGTAGCCACATTAAAGATTTTCTTTTACAAACACAACAATTCATTCATTTATGGCAATGTAGACGTCAATAGTCCAGAATGCTTATTTCATTTTGCAACTTAAAAGTGAAAAGTGTTTCAAGTTGAAAACTAAATAGAAAATAAAAATGTTACTTGGATGTTGATTTTGGAAAAATATATTTTAAACTACATTTTAAAATATCAAGTACAAATCATCACTAAACAATTAAATATGTAAATTATAGTCAATGCAAAAAAAAAATTTTCAAAAATAATCACTCAACAACCGAGTCCTACCAAATTTTCCATTTGAACTATTTTTAGTTCTAAAATAGTGATTACACTAACAAAAAAGTGTTTCAAGTTAGAATTTAAAATGTAAATCAGACCGCTATTTGGATGATGTTTTATTTTCCATTGGATTTTGTGTTTAAGAGCTAAAATGAGACAAAATACAAAGATTAACAGGTAAAATGAGATAAAATGCAAAATGGAAGGTTGGCCAAACAAAGCAAGACGTTGGTTGCAGTCATCCACGTTTGCTTATAAGTAAATATTCATTAAATCACTCCAATTTTTTCGAGTTCAATTCACACAAGAATGAACATAAGAATCAAACAGAGGGGCATCAGGTCTCCAAGGTGATATAGCATCAAAGCTTTTGCTATTCAGTCGCAAATTACCCATTTGATTATGAGATTCATCCTCTGGCCCCGTACAACAAAAGAGATAAATGTCAAAACTCTCCCAAAAACTCACTCTTTTACAATTCATTCAATCCACAAAAGAAACATTTTCTTCCCCGAAAAGCATAATCAGAAAGGAGAAAGTGGGGATGAGACCTCTGATTTCATTTCTTCAATTGAAATTCCAGAACAATCAAGTGAACCATTCATCATCAAGAAATTCTAAATTACTCCCATATATACCCTACCTGCAAATTTCCCTCTCACATTCACTGTTTTTTCAATCCTTAGCCAGAGCCAAAAAAAAAAAAACATTATTCACCCAATAGAGATAATTATTATTCCTAATAAAAAAAAAAAGAGCTCTTCTATAGGAGATGATTATTATTCTAACAGGATGAATGAAGTTTTATTAGCTCTGACAGATATTAAGGACATGTGAGAAAGAAAACTCCAGCAACGAGTTAAAAGAACTCTTTACGAAGAATATGAAATTTGAATTCGAATTAGAATACTGATATCTAAATTTTTTTGTTTTCTGGATTCATCCAAATTGCTTTGAGCCGGAAGAAAAACGAAAGAAGCAAACTGAACCAATTAACCAGCTAAAAAGAACAGAAACCAAATGATAAAGGGCATCAGTTCTCCAAGGTGATATAGCATCAAAGTTTTTGCTATTCAGTCGCAAATTACCCATTTGATTATGAGATTCATCCTCTGCCCCCATTCAACAGTAAAATCTACCATTATTTTTACAGCAACGAAAAAAATTTGATTTTGAAGTAATTAAACAAACAAAAAACAAAGCAGAAACAAAGGCGATCAGAACCTGTCGGGATTCATATGTAACATCAACAAAAATTCAGTGGATTGACAGACTTATGAATTCTATCGTCACTTCGCCTTTTTCCTTCCAACCAAAAAAAAAAAAATGAAATTTCTTACCAACAAAACAAATAGAAAAAACAGAAAATTAATAGACATAAAAATTCAGGCAGCGCTCAGAACTTCTTAGAGGATTAGGTTACCGTCACCGACGACGGCGTTGGAGCCGCCGTCTACGGCCTGAATTAATGTTCATCAAAGCTGCTGCGACTGAAACTACGATTAAGAAACCAAATAAAAGGCAACCCAAAAACAGAGTACAAGATTTTACAATTTCTGAAGAACAATAAACCCTAGAGGTTCTATCTTCTTGATGCAGCTATTGATAAATGATAACAGAGGTTTACTTATAGGTAGAGTTGGTCAATTTGTCGGCGGCCACGAACCCTAGCTTCAGAAAACTCCACCCGGAGAATGGGCCTGAACTCGGGATATTTGGAAATTCGGTCCGTAGTCATGTTGGGCTCTTGCCCAACAGTGAGATTTTACATTTTTACGCTTTATATTACTATACTTACTCTTAGTCTTAGGCCTAAGCTCCAATATTTTTCTAACATAATTATTTCTTAAGTTCGTGATTGAAATATCATAGACTAATTCTCATTTTTTGTTATTTTGTTCCCGTGATAAATATCAGCAAATACGTTGAAACCACAAGAAAAAAAAAGGTTTAAAAATATTTGTGTTGGGAACATGAAATTGTAGTAATTTTTTTGGTGATAGGGAAAAAAAATAATATTATGAGATGCTATCCGGACCTCCACTCATTTTTTTTGCCTTTAGAATCTAATAATAGCAAATTAGATGTGGTTTTGCATTCGATTATGACCATGTATCTTTTCTTTGACATACATACAATACTGTTGGGGAAGAATGTGACTAGTTGAAAACGGCTAGCTCTTTTTGGCCAACAGACTAACTCAAAGTGAAAGTAGCTAGCTATATTAAAGAAACCGGCTAGTTCAAACTGGAAACAGCTAGCTAACTAACAGACAGAATGATTATAGCAGCAAACGAGCTAGCTATATCCATAATCCGGGTAGCTGTTTTACAAACAGAATGCTTATAGCACAACAAGCTATCTATATCCCGAAAACCAGCTAGCTCAATCACAAACATAATGGTTACAGTAGCAACAGGCTAGTTGTATCCACAAATCCGGCTAGCTAAATTACAGCAGAAAAACCAAACACCTCCCCAATTTGCAAGAACACTCCAGGAGCATAAAATGCCAAAACTAAATTGAAGTATTGCGGCAACGAAACAACAACCAAAGCAAAACCACACAAGAACATAAGGATTTACGTGGAAAACCTCCTTCAATGTGAAGGAGAAAAAAGCACGAGACTAAAAGGCCTATCAAATCCACTATCACCAAATGAGAGTTGAGTACAAAGGCTTCCAGCAATACAACAAAGATATCTAGTCCTTAACCAAGCTAAACTAAGCTGCAAAAGGCACTAGAATATCAATACAAGATCAAAAGATCAACTAAACTGCAGCAATGTTCAGAAATCTATAACTCCCAACTTGGATGTTGAAAACCAAAACCCTTCTGTGGAGATGAAGAGTGATGAAACTTCTAACTTCAGTAAAAATTTCAGAGCAATCCGACTCTGTTTGCCCCTCCAATCGACAAGAAATCAGAACCAACTACAGTAAATCTTTGCTGAAAAATTCTTAACATTTGTTGTCCGTATTTTTGCAGTTAAACTCACTTCTCTCTCACTCTTGCACTTTCCAACTGCAAACCTTGCCCCCTTTAAGTGGTAAAAAGTGGGCCAAAAATATTTTCTCCATTGGGCCTTTCTCCACATATGTGGGAGCCTAATAATCCCAACAAATCTCCTCCCTCCCGACTATGTGGAGGAAATTGCCATCCCGGCAATACCACAACAAACTTTAAACTTCTATCTAGACAAGACTTTAGTCATCATGTCTGCACCATTATCATTAGTGTGAACTTTTTCAAGTTCAACCAACTTCTCATCCAACACATCCCGTATCCAATGATACTTACATCTATGTGTTTAGACTTGGAATGAAAAGTAGGATGCTTACCAAGATGTATTGTACTTTGACTATCACAAAGCAAAACATATCTTTGTTGCGAGCAACCAAGTTCTTTCAAGAACCTCCTCAAATACAACAACTCCTTGCAAGCTTCTGTAGCTGTAATAAATTCAGCTTCCGTTGTTGATAGAGCAACACATTTTTGCAACCTAGATTGCCAAGAAACAACCCCCCTGCAAAAGTAGTCAAATAACCTGAAGTGGATCTTTTGGTATCAATATCACCAACCAATATTGGAATCAGTGTACCATGTGAGGACTGATTCACCATCTCCAAAGCAAAGTTTCAAACTTGAGGTGCCACAAAGATATCTCAAAATCCACTTGACTGCATTCCAATGCTCTCTTCCAGGCTTGGAAAGAAACCTGCTCACTACACCAACTGCATGAGAAATATCAGGCCTTGTACACACCATTGCATACATCAAACTACCAATAGCAGAAGAATAAGGAACATTTTTCATTGCTTCCTTTTCTTCATCAGTAGAGGTACTCTAATCAACCGTAAACTTCATGTGTGCTGCTAAAGGAGTACACACATGTTTAGCCTTATCCATTCTAAACCTCTCAAGTACCTTTTCAATGTACTGCACCTGTGATAGCCATAACTTCCTTGCTTCATATGAAAGGATTTACTCAACTCTGCTTCAACCTGTCAATCCTGGAAGCACTCTGACCAACAATAAGCATATCATCAACATAAAGCAACAAAATGATAAAATCATTAGGGGATAATTTTTGTACAAAAACACAATGGTTACAAGTAGTTTTCTTGTAGCTCTGTTGCCTCAATACAGACTCAAACTTCATCTACCACTGACTTGGAGCTTGTTTCAGGCCATACAAGCTCTCATCCTCAACTTGCACACATAATCCTCTTTTCCTTTCACCTTGAACCCTTCAGGTTGTTCCGTGTAAATTTCTTCATTTAGGTCACCATGAAGAAATGCAGTCTTCATATCCATTTGCTCAACTTCTAGGTCAAGACTCGCAGCCAGCCCTAACACAATCTGGAATGAAGACTTTCTCACAACAAGTGAAAAGATCTCATCAAAGTCAACATCCTTCTTCTGACTGAACCCCTTCACAACCAATCTGGCCTTGTACCTTGGTTTGGAAGAACCTTCTTCTTGTTTAAGTCTGTAGACCCACCTATTTTTCAAGGATCTCTTACCCTTAGGTAGTGACACTAACTCAAAAGTATGATTATCATGCAAGGACTTCATTTCATCTTCCATTGTATGAAAACATTCTTGACTATCTACGTCTTCCATGGCTTCCTCAAAGCTCTCAGGCTCTCCTCCATCAGTCACAAGGACATACTCATCACGGGGATACCTAGTAGAAAGTATTCTTTCCCTGGTAGACCTCCTGAGTTCCTGTGGATCATCACTTCCTGGATTATGCAAGTTATCCATTTGCTGACCATCAGCAAATTCATCATGCTGCAAATTTGCATTGGTAGAACCACCAACTACAGTAGGCTCCTATGGTGTAAAATCTGGATCAGAATCTGTGAGGTCATCATCGACATGAGAATCTGAACTTTCTGCCTTCTCAATGTCATCAATGGTTTCGTCTTCACAAAACACCACATCACGGCTGCGTATGACCTTCTTCTCAACAGGATCATACAAAATTGTAACCAAACTCATCTTGGCCATAGCCAATGAAGATGCACTGCCTTGCCTTGGCATCTAACTTGGACCTCTCATCCCTAGGAACATGAACATAAACTTTGCAACCAAACACCCTCAAATGATCACAAGACGTGTTTTTACCAGTCCACATATTTTCTGGTACATTACCCT